AAATCTTTTTATAATGTATATATGTAAAAGTGTAAACTTGCTAGAAGTTGGACTCATTGTCAAACCCGATCAAATGCGTGACCTTGGGACTGTGACAACCGCCTTTTATAACCAGGTACGTAACCAAGGGTGCATAATTTTACTCCATAAAACGGAAGAGAATATACGGTTAAAGAGGGGAGAAAATTGTGTAGAGTATGAGGATCAAGTACAGTTGTGTCAAATACTCTTTTCTGGTTTGATTTAAATATGTATGATATACTGAGGCAATATTTCGTCAATTCATCAAGGTAACGAATTTGTCTGCACCTTAGAAGTGTTGAAGTCCTATTACTCATTAATATTATGAATGATTAGTCGGTAAAAGGAAAGATTGCAGTAACCCTCTCGTGGTCTGATGTGGCCTAATGGCTAGGCACGCGGTCTAGCATTCAGGAGGGCAGAGTTTCAAGTGCGTGTGGGTCATGCGTTTTTGTTCATCGAAACCCCCTTCAATACGATGTTTGTTGGCCATAAGTTGCTCAGCTATGAGAGAAAGATAACAGGAGGACTGATTGATATGTCAGAATGCCATATTGGAACAGTACAAGTTCTTTGTTTGGATTACTAATAATACTATAGAAAAAAAATCTACAAGTTTTGTAATTTCCATTTTACGTTATACTTAGACCGAGAGAAAAAGTATATATATATCTATATAAAAGTTACTGACATAACATGTCTTTTTTATAACGCTAGTGTTAAGTTCCAGGGTTTTGTCAGGACCACTAATAATAATTGGTTTAACGTTAACATAGCTATGATAGTCATATCGTTAGTTCAATGTTATGATTACTTAAGAGTTCCTTTATAAGTTGTGTTTAAAATTAGGTATGCGGAATCAATGCGGCTAACATAGTAACCTTACAGTAACGCACTGTACTATATCTCCACGGTTATTGATTCTTAAATGTCAGAATTTTAAAAAAATCTGAATATTGCCAATAAAGATGGGTTATATGATCACACTAAAAAGCATGCTGCAGGAAAACTGGTTAAGTCATTACATAAGTTTCCTAAACATGAAAAAAATGATGAGAACTTTAATAAGTACTTGGCCATGGTTTAATCCAAAATGTTTTGTCTAGAAAACCACTTATTAATAGCAGTATTAATCGTATCAAGCTACTAAACATATCTTCGACCGAAAACTTTTAGAAGTAGTTCATATGGTATATATGTATAGCCAGTCTACGTGAAAAATGTATATAGATATATAAGAAGTACAGCCAACATAGTTAATTAACCAGAAAAAGAAATTATAAAACTCGCCTGGGTTGCTTTTTGATATCGTTGTATTTGCCAGTGTTAGTTGTATGAGTTTGATTAAAATCCCCAGCCATCGTTTCGGAATACCTAGCTTATGTGTCCAGTATTTAAAAAAAATATTTAACATAATACTTATATATTAAAGGTAAAAGGTCTGGGGAGTTGTAGGTGAGGCGGAATGAGGAAAAATAATTATTTTTAAGTAGATGCAGGGTCTGATTAGCTACGTGGTTAGATTTTATACTGCAGCCGAAACTGTCAACATCCTTGACTGACTAATTGGATGTGCCCAGCGAACCGTTTTAGTCATTTGTAAAGATTTATCATCTTTACATTTCGATTCCGTAATGGATTTGTCAGTTAAACGATCTAACAATACGTATGGTGGTTCATGATCTAGATAAGCCGGCTTTAGCCTATCAATACTTATTGTGTCGATGTTTCCATGTTTTTCTATCACGAAATATTTAGATTTTCTTGAGACGACTTTGAAAGGACCTTCAAATGGAGGACTGAGTGGTAATTTTATTTTATCACATCTTATCCAGACGTGCGTGCAATTGCTTAGGTCTTTAGGTACATATACGGCGCGCGATTGTTCGCGGGTATTCATTGGTTTAAGTTTGGACATATGGTCCCGTAGTTGATCTACGTAATTTTCTAAATTAAGTTTTTGACTGTTAGTATTAGGGTTAATAAATTCACCTGGTAGTCTCAGAGTTGTTCCGAAAACCAGTTCTGCAGCTGAACATTGTGCGTCAGTTTTGACAGATGTTCGTATTCCCAACTAATGGTAGGAATTCTGTCCACTGATTGGGGTTTGAGTGAGATATAAGGGCGGTTTTTAGCTGACGGTGAAAACGTTCTACCATCCCATTAGCCTGAGGATGATATGCAGTGCAGCGTATCCTATTAGAGCCTAGAAGTTTAGCCAAGTTATTAAATAGTTCGGATTCGAATTGCGCTCCTCTATCCGTCGTTATTGTTATGGGTGTACCAAAAATGGTTACCCAGTTCTGCATGAAAGCTTTGGCTACTGTTTCCGCTGTGATGTCCGCTATCGGGATGGCTATAGGGAATCTGGTAAATCGATCTATGCATGTAAAAAGATAATTAAAACCATTTGAACGGGGTAAAGGACCTACCAAGTCGATATGCACATGTGCAAAACGTGCATCTGGTTGCGAGAAAACACCTATGGGTGAATTTGTGTGACGATTAATCTTTGATTGTTGGCATGCTGAACACTCTCTAACCCATTTGTGTACATCCTTCTGTAAATTCGGCCATATATATCTGGCATTGATTAGTTTAGTTGAAGCTTTTGCTCCAGGATGAGACAAAGAATGAAAGTTATTATATATCAACTTTCGCATATTTTTGGGAACGAAAGGTCGCGGCATCGCCTTGGTCGTGTCACAGTAAATTAGAATACCATCGATAGGTGATGGGAACTGTTTTAAATTAAGACTTGAATTGTTTGTTTTAAGTAGGTTTTGTAATTCTAGGTCCTGCTCTTGTTCGTGTCTCAACGTCTCGAAGTTTACTGTAGACTGCTGTACTACGTTCATTTCTAGTCTGGATAAAGCATCTGCCGCCTGATTGTCCTGACCTTTGACATGTCGGATATCGCTTGTGAACTGTGATATATAGTCAAGGTGTCGGACTTCTCGAGGTGAGTACTTATCGGCTCTCGCTTTTAATGCATTCGTCAGTGGTTTGTGATCCGTAAAGACTATAAATTCCCTACCTTCTAACATGTGTCGGAAGTGTTTAATGGTCAGGTAGATTGCAAGAAGTTCTCGCCCGAAGGTAGAATACCTTGTCTCAGCTGGAGCGAGTCTTTTCGAGAAGAAAGCAATTGGTTTCCAGGCGTTTTTAACCAGTTGGTTAAGGGTACCGCCTACTGCTTTATCTGAAGCATCCACCATCAAAGCAAGTGGGGAAAGAGAATTCGGATATATCAACGTAGTTGCTTGAGCCAGTTTATCTTTAAGCTGTTTAATAGCTTCGACGGCGTCAGAAGACAGTTTGAATTCTTTTGGTTTTCCTTTAAGTAAATCTGTTAAAGGTTGCATTAATTGTGAACAACCTGGTATGAATCTGCGATAAAAGTTAATTAGACCTAGAAAACTTCTCATTTGTGTTAGAGAGCTAGGTATCGGGTATTGTTTGATGGTATCCACTTCTTTTTTTATAGGTTTAATCCCTTCTGGGCTTATTGTGTGACCAAGAAATTCTAAAGTTTGAACACCGAAAACACACTTACTTTGATGTATGTTTATTCCATGTTCATTCAATCTTGTCAACACTGCTCGTACATGCTCTTCGTGTGATTGCAAATCGGGGCTGGCAATTAACAAGTCGTCTATATACCCCTGCGCAAATGGCATATCTCGAAGTAGGTTATCTATGAATCTTTGAAATGTCTGTGCCGCATTTCTCAGGCCGAATGGCATGCGTACAAACTCGAATAAGCCAAAGGGTGTTGTAATAGCTGTCTTAGGGATATCTTCATTAGCCACCGGGATATTGTGATATGCCCTGACTAAGTCAATTTTAGTGAATATGTTCATACCCTGTAAACCGTTTGTGAAATCTTGGATATGCGGTATTGGGTACCTATCTGGTACGATTTGACGGTTGAGGGCTCTGTAATCCCCACACGGTCGCCAGTCACCTTCATTCTTCTTTGGGACCATATGTAAAGGGGATGCCCATTGACTATCAGAGGGACGGATAATACCCAGTTGTAGCATATAATCAAACTCGGCTCTAGCGATTTTGAGCTTATCTGGTGCTAGTCTCCTGGGTTTTGCAAACACCGGTGCACCTTCGGTTTTGATAGTGTGACTTACTTTTAGTTTGTCTTTGGAAGGCTGTGGGTTTGGTTTAGTTAAGTTTGGAAATTCCGCGAGTATATCTTGGAATTTCGCTGTTGTTACTGGAGGGGTTTGAATCAAGTTAAGAGAGCTGATGTGACTTTCTTTGCCTTTTGTGTAAAACGAAGTTTCTTTTAGTGTTAATCGCCGTTTCTTGGTATCCACAAGAAATTCGTATCTCTCTAGAAAGTCCATCCCCAGTATTGCCAGATCTAAGTCGGCTACCGTGAAAACCCAAGGGAATTGCCTTCTGAACCCCAAATCTAGGGTTAACGTTTTCTGCCCAAATGTCGCGATTGTAGTTTTATTTGCAGCTTGAAGTGTAATCGGGGATGTTTCTCGACTAATCTCAGTTTTATTTCGAGGGATGATGCTAAGAGCAGCGCCAGTATCCACCAAGAAATTCAAGCCCGAGTTTCTGTCTCTGACATAAAACAAGCGACTGTTTAGGCGCCCCTCCTCAGTTGTCGTGACCTGGGGAGGGGTTACTCGTTTCCCGCTGTCTTGGAATTATGCTTAGGCCAGGCGCATGGTTGCCTGCACTTGTTTGAGTTGACACCAAACTTCCAGTGGTACCAACAAAACTGCCCAGATTGTCTGGACATTTGTGACCTATTTTGTGACTTGGATCGTGATCGTTGTGGTGACCTGCTCCTGTTTGTATGACCCATTTGCATTCTGGTGACAGCCTCAGTGAGACTCTTAACACTCGCAATGAGTCCTTCTATGACGGGGTCTTTTGCTGATTCTACTTTCTGTGTGTGATTTATTGTGCCTGATCCTGTTGGAGGACCTCTTTCCATTATTCTATCAGCTATACGCGCTAAATGAGGTTTCAGGATCTTGTGCATCCAAACAGTGTTGGACGTAGCATGGGAGAGCTTGTATCCATCCTTGTTTTAGGACTGCTTCACCCACTGTGTTATCACCCACTAAGACTTGGAGGTGACGTAGAAACTGTGACGGCGACCGATCACCTAGTGTTTCACCTTGAAAAAGTCTTTGGATTCTTTGACTATCTGATAATGATAAACGGTTCATTATCTCTCGTCTTAAGACGGTGTACGGTTGTGGTGATGGTGGATCTAAAATCAAGTCACGGACTTCTTTGGCGACTGAAGGAGGAAGGATAGAACACAAATCTCTATAGCGAATCCCTTCAGATTTGATATTGTGTCTCGTGAAATAATGCTCGAGTTGAGCAAACCACAACTCAGGATCACTACGATCAAATTCTGGAAGTCGAGATTTCGTAGTCATAACAGTGTCTATCTCCACTGGTGACAAATCCTCCAGATTATGGGTTTCTTTTAAGTCTGACATGAGGTGTGTGACAAATATAGCAATAAAATTAGCACGAAAAAAAGGGTTTCTATAACACGAATAACTTAAGATAATAAAAAAAACAAACTATTTATATACCCAACTTAGTTTACGGATTATGAGGTCTACTTTTACGATTGAGTAAAAAAAAATATATTAATAACAAAAATGAGGTTAATTTGTGTTCAAAAAGGGCTCACCAGTTTCGTGCCTATAGGTAACCCTCGTACTATTGATAGAAGAAACCAGAGTAGTGAGTACGTCTTTATTTCGATCTTAGCGCAGTCACAGTGGAGCGTGGGATTATCTGTTCAGACAAACAAAAGCTTTCAACATTCAATATAAGATAATAAGGAATATAACGCTTATACAAAATAAGGAAGTGAATGAATACTTAAACAATACTGTTTTGACATATGCTTGGTTGTTTGGGGTCAACTCTTAACCAACCAACCTATGCTGTTACAACTTCAATATGCCTGAAATTTCTTGGCTGCCAGTCAAAGCGCCGAGACGTTATGAATCATTTATTGAATGTCTAGAGCTCGGACAATGGACTCAGTATGTCGATAGCCCTACCAGACATCAAAACATCTTGGACTTAGTCTTTACCAGTGGCCTCATCCCCAATACTTTGTATATTGGAAAAAAGTTCACAGGTAGTGATCATAACATTGTCATATGCAGCCTTAATGTAAAAACCACAACCAATAGAAGCAAAACCGTAACACTTCGTAGAAACTATCGCAAGGTTGATTGGAATAACTTCCACAATTACCTAAGAAGCACTGATTGGGGAACTTTCTTTACCTCAAACAATACCGACACATTAACCAATATATTTTATCACAACATCAAAAGTATCATCAACAACATCGCACCTTTAGAATACTGTAAACCTGCGTTCTCCAAAGATCTCTATATACCGGTCAATACAAGAAGACGTCTTCAAAGACATTGTACTCAATTCCACAACATAAGTGACTTTTCCTCTTTAGTAACGATGACAGAAATACTTGTCCAAACAGAGGAAATAAGTAAACAAAAAGCAGTAGCACAGGAAAAACGTGCAGTTGAACTTAATAATAACTCCTCTGCACTCACCATACTACTCCAAAATAAACTTAAACGCTCTAAATCGAGAGGGAGTATATTCATTAAAGGCAAACAAGTATACGAAGATCCCAAACTTGTCACAGAATTATTAAGTGAACATTTTTGTTTCTCACTAACTGACGAAAAACCATTTAATGATTCAGAACCAATCCCAGTAACTCCCTGTGAAATTACTAATGTAGAATTCAGTGTACAAAATATCTCCAAGGCAATCAGTACATTGAAACACTCATACACTGATGGACCAGATGGTATTCCATCTAGCATGCTAAAACGTGGAGGTGATGATATGTGTGTTTTGCTTCTCAAACTATTCGCGATATCACTCTCTTCAGCGTGTTACCCCACTGCCTGGAAAACTACACATATCATTCCCAAAATTAAAACAGGACCTGAAGTAAACGTTGAAAATTACCGGCCACAACGTCTTGTGAGTTTTTCAATGTTTTATTTGTCTTACCCTGAAATTTTTTTTCTACGATTTTATACCCTCTCATATCTTTTGATTTGCTATTAGTCCTTCTTTAAACCATTAGTTATTTTCATAGCAGTGTGATATACTATGTGGACATCTAACCCATAAAACAATTTTTTTTTAACTATCTGATTTGCTTGTAACATGGACCTAGTAGAGACAGTGTATTCCAACTATAGGCTTTGATTGAAGCAGTATTCATACTTACCACAAACGTAAGAGAGCCTAACATCACAAAAGGAGGGAGGGTGGCGTTACTGACCAGCAAACATGAAGGTGCGGAGATAACTTCAATCCACCCATGTCTGTAGGGCAGAACATTTTGTTTAATTACGGCTCCTTATGGTTTAGTGGGATGTCACGAACTTGAAGCTGATTTATTCGCGCAAAATACCTCTTTAAATCGTGTTTCGAATGTTGAATTGGTTTCACTTCCTACCCAGAAATCCTATTACAAGCAAACTAGACAATTCGCTAATATACGAAGCCTACTCAAGACCCTATAATAACTGGGGGACAAAATATTTAAAAAAAACGAAAGGGGCTCTTATAGCTTCGATAATAAAGGAAAGACAACCAATTGTATATCACAATACTGTTTCTAGCACTATATTTTATTTTATAATCACACATAATCTTATACTCTCAGCCCTTTTCCGAATCGCCCTCATTTGTCAGTTGTATGTTCACTCACACCTTGTCAACACTTATTTTCTTTAACCTATTGAAATGCTCTTTCTTAACATATACCTTAATAAAGGAAAATTAGACTGAGTAATCATACCTTAAGCATTCCTTCATGAATATTGGCTACTCTGCCTCTCGTGTTTTCTTTTACTTGCTCCCTCTTTCAGCCTCCTTGAGATGTGGAACTGGTGACTTCATCCTGCACCATCCTTAAAGCCTTGGATATCCCAGAAGGAAATAAGGTTGCGATTTTTAGAAGCCCATACCTTCAATGGACCTATCCTTGACCATCAGTCGCACATTCGCAACGCAACATTCATGAAGCGCGCCAACTGTAGTACTGATTTAAACCATCGACATTCATATCTTATAAATTATCAACCCAGCTATGTAATTTATTACAGTGTATATTGTATCATTTGTATCAATTTGATCTTGCCTGTAAACTGGCATGCCTCATGTAACAATCTGTTATTTGAGAATAAATTATTATTATTATTATTATAGAATTTTACACTAAACAAGTAATTATGAAACCACTTTAAAGCCGATATCCGGGTTGAAGCCCCTTGTTGAATCTGAAAATATCCTTGTTCGCTCTTACCTTAACATCTCAAAATAGAATTGACAGGTTTTTTATTCTGCTCCGAAACTGCAAGAAGTCACAATAAAGAATGGAAACTTGAAGTACACAATATGAGATTGTCTTGCATCATTAAGATTGGTTTAACACAACACAGAATATTTGGCTGTACAGTAAGTGCATTAGTTATTCACACAATACTGTTAGATTTTTGACTGTTGTTTCATTTGTCATTTTGAATTCTGGATCCTGCAAAACAAACAATTGATTTTTGAATGATTCCATTTAACTAAGTTGACTGAATGTATATCTGCTGAGATGAGCAATTGATTTCCAGAGTGTTAGGAAGATTCATTGTTTTGGACATTTGACTGTACTATTTTGAGATATTTCTTGAGCAGCACGCTGTTGCTGGGTTGTCAGAAGTACCTTTACCATCTGTCATGGCATTTCTGCATATTCTTCGTATTAATTACTTAATTCTATGTAGTTTATCTCATAATTTTGTTGTAACAACAGCAGCTGTATCTGCCTCAGTAAACATTGTTCAAACGCACATCCAGCTTTGTTTGTATGTTATATCCATTTGTTCCACACCATTCACATACGTTGCTTTCAACAGTATTTCACTTTGCTAAACAGAACTTTCCGTCTATTAACAATCTTTTAATAAACTCGACTGAGGTCTTAGTGAATTTTTTCCCAGATAAGGTCTATTTGTATCGGTGAAAACATGGGTTTCTATAACTGTTATATGAAACCGTGAACCAGGAGCTGAATATACCATATGTATTTTTCCTCCAACAACAAAAGAAAAAGTGTACATCACTAACAGGGATGATCCGTGTTAAACGATTTGAGGCCTACTCAGGTTAGATGGAGATGTTATGACAAGCCAGTCAGGGTTGAGGGCACACCTCGCAATCAGCACCTAATTACCCGTTCATCGTCTTAAGGTTCTATGGCTGCTATAAAGAACGCATAAAACAAAGGACGTTATTACAGAAACTTATTGGTAAGAATAGGTACACGGAATAGAGCGGTCACCACAGCATAGGCTAATGCATGGCGTGCATTTAATTGATGCGCGATGTTTATTCTTGAAAATGACGAGGATCGGTGAACTGTTGGACATTCAAGCACCCGACAGTAGAATGATTTGGTCAGGGTCCAGTCACATTTCACTGATCATACAGATCTGTAACGAAATTTTGTGTCCATTGATGCTAAGTCTTGTTGCAAACCGATGTTGTAGAAAGTCTGGCCTAATTTTTGTCAGTAGTTTGGGTTGTAGTGGCATTAGACACTAGCAACACTACCTTCGAAGCCGATGATATATTTGGAAGATTGTCGATGTATCGAGAAGCAGGCTGGCAGTTATAAGGAATGATTAGTACGTCGTAAACACTAGTGATCTGGTGAGGGTGTGTTATCGAGCACATTCAGCTAAGATGTGTCCAGTAAAGCTAGTAAGATCAGCATCAACGTCGGAGACTCACAAAACCATTTTGTAGATTTATTTATCGCTTCAGTCATCTCCCATGTGAATGTCTAATGAATTACAGCATCATAGACGCTTCTAGTCATCCCCTTAAGTACCTACGTAAGCTCATTCCCGATACAAACCTTAGTAGTAACACACAGAATCTGGAGACCCAGCATTACAGAATGGACTGACAGCACATCTTCTACACGTAAGAGTAGTCAAATACTGGAATTCGCCGCAAGTTGAGATCGTCCAAGCAACACACTTAAGGACAACGGACAGCATCTCATCACGATTTACTAATGGTTTTCCCCTTTATCATTAAACATACAGAGTTTGTCATCTGGAGGCGTTAGTGATTTACTGTTGCTAGATACGGTTGCCCGTTAAGCGAAAACTCCTTCTATTCCGTTCAGAACCATTTGAAAACCATTTGAATCAAACAAGTGGTGACAAGTTCGCACATCAATTACATAATAAGACTATACATGTAGATTTTCCATCTGATTGCAAAAGGAATTCATTGATTATGTCAAAATTTAGGCAATCTTTTGGTCTTCTTTTTTCAAATCAAGATTGTACATTAGTATGACCTTGAAGTTTTAGCGGAATTTCGTATGCGAAGGCTCGTATGTCATGATGCGATAGTAAGGTAAGTGCTAGCATCTTCGCACACCTGTTAAAACAAGGAAAAGTTTTGAACGTGAGCTCATCTGCCACGCCGCACGTTATATTTACATGTTTTATGTCTGTATTTATCAAGCTTTGAAAGTAAGTTCAAATCCTACTTGATAACAAGTAAGCACCAACACATATTTTGGACACAACTTGTTAGTGATAAGTACCTGACTGGCTTTCTGTATGGTTACAGAGCTGGGAAGAACAGTGTGAGTCGAAAATCTGTAGTTGTCCATAATCCATGTCACCCCAGTGTTGGCGAATAGTGTGTTTGTGTGTAGTTAAGTTGTTCGTCTTGAGTGATATTTCCCATTATCTTGGTGACCACAATCAAAGTTCTTTAGATGGTTGTTAGAGGGGCAAAAAAGGCTTTTACCCAACTGGATTCCATGTCTAGTAACCGTTGATCAACGATACTTCCAGGTATGTACCCAGGTATATGAACCACAGAAGTGAAGTGATTGTAAGTTAGCATGAAGTACTGTCATGAGTTTTTTAAAACATATCAATTTTCACCATCTCAGCGGATAGCGAACCTCGAGACCTTACTACTCGGAAGGAGTCCAATTCACTGTGCTGTATTACCACTAAGTTTCATGTTGGGACTAAGTCTAGGAGTTTCACGGGATCCCTAAAAGTGTTCGGAATGCTATATATCGTTCGAAAGTCTCCTATACTTTAATGAGTAAGGATCCCGTGGCTTGAAGTGTTTCTTAGGATGCTCGAATGTGAGTTGTAGTGTCACTTATTATGTTAAGCCCATATACCTTATTCTAGCTTTCGGACAGCCCATTCTACTTGAGCCACATTTTGACCTTGTTAATTATCTGCTTATCAATCTTGACTGTTTTTATATGAGCGTATTATGTGTGTATACTTCTTATCCCATTACCCATCACATGTCTGTAACTTATTTTTGTGTGCCTATAAATATTGATTAACGCTTGACTGAAGGGGAGTTGGCTTAACCGCCATCTTCACTGCGCGTCGTTTTGCTTCGTTCTATTCCATTCGCTCTATGTACAAAATATATGTATTCAAAAGTCCATTCTCGTTATTTGACTTATCTAAATCCGTTATTGACTAACGCGATTAAAGTCGATGATTATATACGAGGATAGGAGACAACAAACATTCATACGGTCTAAATGGGAATCAGATCACGGGTCACCAAAGTGGAGAGCCGTTTTGACAACATCGCTCGACCTTACTGACGATTAAATAACGGGCCTCCACAGAGTCCTCGAACTGATTTCGTGACTGGCTTTTTGATACATCCCAGAGTATTCCTACTCTTTCTAACTCTAGGAGGAAATTGACCATATTGCATGTATAGTTTGCAACATTTCCCAGATGGACGTCCTTACCCATTATTACCAGCCCAACTTTAATGTCGGTATCAGACATTCCTGAAGTGCCAGCTCAACACCGTGGTTGTGAACTTTTCAGAGCTCAACATCGTTCGGAAGAAGTAATATCGTGGAGGATTCTTACTAAGGAGAGTCATTTATGTCAATCAACTAGAAAAGCGGTCCTAGCACGACACTAGAATCCCACTAAGACTCTGTGACTTAAGGGAATGATCGATTTATTCCGATATGATTTAGGCCAGTCTCAGTGGTGACCTAGTACCTATCAGCTTGACAAGGAATGTGATCGACCCCATCAGGGGTTCCGAAGAAATCTAAGTATAATACACTCACCTCCTTCAGATCGTGGTTGGTAGTTGGTTTATCTATCTCAGTCATCAGATTGGGTTGCAGAAGTAATTCTCGAAATCGTACTGTTGGGGCGAAAAGAAATTTTTAGGTAGTAATTAGTCACATAGGCCGTTATATATCAGAGATTTTTTAACCTCTAAAGGTATTGACAAGAGAATTACTACTACATAAAAAAACTGAATAATTCTAGTGTAAAATCGTTTAAGTTGTTATATTAACAAATTTCCTTAGTGAATACGAATCTACTCCTCCCTTGGTTTTGTCAGTTCATTTGCAAAGATTTGCTAGTGTTCCAACAGGCCAGATTGTTTACGTTATTCAATAATGAACCTCAGTTTGTCAAATTCTCTTTATCCCAAAGGTTCTACACTCCTTTCAATTTGCCATTCAGAAGCTCGAAGTATGTCTTCTAAAAGTTTCAAGGAACTAGTAAGTTTAAAAAGCTATATATAATCATAAATTTCTAGGGTGTTTGCAATGAAATATGTGACGTTATTTCAACTCTTGGTTGGGTGAAACCGTCTGAAATACAGCTGAAAGCTATTCCGGCTGCTCTTCGTAAAAAGGACATAGTGGGACTCGCAGAAACCGGATCTGGGAAAACTGCCGCCTTTGCCATACCAATATTACAAGATTTACTCTCAAAGCCTAGACATAACTTTGCATTGGTACTGACTCCAACAAGAGAGTTAGCTCTTCAAGTCAAGTGTCTTTTTATGGAACTAGGTGATAAATTTGGCCTGAAGGTGGTGTGTTTGGTAGGTGGCCAACATGTTGAAGATCAAGTTCGTGATTTAAAAAGACTTAAGTTCCACGTAATTGTTGGGACACCTGGCCGAATAGTTTATCATCTTGAAAATACGAAAGAATTGCGCTTAAATCACGTTAGGTACTTTGTACTTGATGAGGCTGACCAAATGTTGGAGGATACTTTTGAACAACAGTTAGCTTTCATAATAACAAAGTTGCATCCCAACAAACAGACCTTCTTATATTCAGCTACCATGACACAGAATGTAAGTTGTCGTCTTGTAATCCACTATTGATTTCCAGGTTGATAAAATACGAAAGGTATGCACCCAGTCACCAGTTATACTTGAAGTCAGTTCAAAATATAGCAAAGTTGACAAGTTGGATCATGCATTTGTTTTTATTCCGGATAAAGAAAGGGATTTTTACCTTATATATTTACTATTATTGTCATCTAAGGTTAGCTCTTTTTTAACATTATTGCTATTATTTCTATTCTTTGGAATTCGATATTGTTTACTGTTCAAAAGTTCTTTAAGATAAAATCCTTTCTTGTGACCGAATAATGGATTCATATAGAGACTTAAAAATGATTGTATGTGAGTCAGTTAGCCAAATAGTAAGTATCTATCAACCCAGGTGGTCTGTGTAAACCTTCAAAATTTTCATGTACTCTTAATTTTGTGCCAATATGGATCTAAAAAAAGTATATAGTAAGAAAATTTAGTATATAGCAACAATATAAAACTATCAAATCATAATATCAAATGTAATTTGAGCTAATTTGGAATGGTCTACAAACTTTGTAACTTGACTCCTTAAAATTTGCATCCTTGGTGATGGCGGAATAACTGACGTGTCTCTTATACTGTCCTAAATTCATTTCCCATAGACTGAAGGAAAAGTGAGAGAAGATTGCCTCCAAAAATCTCACACATTTACCTAAGGTTACCAGTTTTAAAGGTACAATACGAATACTTCAAAATCCACAACTCAGTAAAACGCCAAATGTGAATGACTTCAAGTAGGTTCTGCAGTCATGCTCACGGATCAACTAAGCTATTTTGGTTCCTCACAAAGTGATATTAATTCACAATTAGTATATCTAAAATGTGTCAATGATCTGTTCATTTCAAATCCATCTTGTTCATCATTGATTCTGCTCCTTGTGCCTGAATCGTTCTGTTGGTTTTTTCTACTAACTACTACTACCCTAGCACTGTCTTAGCAGCCAGCGTAGTTGATTATTCATATAGGAACTTTTCCTCCAAATTTCAGGTACTAATAACTAATACATCATTTTGAGATGTTGGTGAATATTTGTAGCTCATAATGAGGATTTGATATTCGTTTTTCCTGTTATCTTGATAGTTTAGTCGGGAAGCTTTCTTTATCTCTCAACAACACCATGAGCTCATACCTCATTAAGAAGTGAGTTGCCAAAAATTTTCCATAGTTTACTAGTTGGTCACTGTAACAGGATAACTTTTTACTTTCTAGTGAGTTAGTGAACCTTGTAGACCAAGTAATGATGAAAAAAGGTTTAAGGAAGCTTAAGTAGTAACAAATTATCATATGGCGTCACCATTTCTGTATGTGTGTACATATATTCTAGAGCGCAGACAATAGTCGATCGATTATATTCACAAGCACATGGAGAGAATCGTTTCGTTTAGTGGCTATGCTTAAAAGTTTGGCCGATGTAATTGGTGCTAGTTCTGCTCCACTTAATGGTGTTATGCAGCAGGATAAACGCCAATCATCTTTATTCGACTTTCGTACAGGTCGTGTTTCAATACTTGTAGCTACCGATCTGGCCTCCAGGTAAGTTCATCGTAAGTTTCATTTTAAATTTTCCCGTTGATGTTGTTTTTCTTTGGCTCACTACTTTTTGATCAATCTCAGAATTGATTTTATTTTCCCTGATCAAATGCGTGGTATAACAAAATGGTCTTAATGATAAAAATGTATAATTTGAATTATCTATATGTACGACTAATTCTCCTAACTTCAGCAGTATAGTCCAAAAACTCGAAACAGATCATTCCGTAACTATTTATTATTTGATTGTCTTTTTAAGGTTACTAGGATTACAAGTAGTTTACAATAACGTCTACACATTTTACTTTCTACTGCAAATTGGATTGAATAATAATAGATAAATCTTCATACTTATTTGTACCTCACAGTCTTGAGGAATATCTCTTGAGACTAATGCAAACTTTAAATAAAGTTGGAGTTTGTTTATTCACAACCTTTGGGCCCAATCATAGAATGAATGTCTAAAAATACATTTCAAGACGAGACATGTATTCTTTTGCCTAGCACCCGAATTCCCTAGTATGGCCTAGCACTACAACTTGAACATTTATTAGTTATGTTACTGTACTTTAAAAAAAAAACATTTGAGTTTTTTGAGCAGTTGTTTTATTTTGCCTTTTTGTTGTTAGCAATTTTAACTCATCAAATTAATGTACTCGTTCATCAAGTGACACTTTATATATTAATTGTTAAACATTTATTGTCCTTGTCATAAGAGACATAAGCCGAAGATTATTTCTCAAGACTATGATTTTTATGAGATTTATTTCTGTGCGAATCAATCATTGAATGGTGACAATCAATATCATTTTCTTTCTGTATTGAGTAAATATTACCCTAACCATTGTCAAACACCTATGGTATTCACCAATTGATAGAGTTAACGCATAGAAGTTAATATAGAAATCTTCATCTTCACATAAGCCTTAGGTTGACACTAATGTTAACCAGGATAAGACACAATCGCATAATATAGGTAAGCTTCGTTGTAACCTTAATTGATAGTTGTTTATAACCTCATCAACGATTTTCCACTGGTACGTTGCATTTTAATCCGACGTTCAGGGTTGCTCCTTCTATGATTTTAGCATATACGATCAATCGTTCGAAGAAACGTTTCATCGAATACTAACAACCCACATGTCTTTTGCATTCAAAGAAAATGTTTCAGTTATAAAGTATAACTAACCGAACTATTTCGCGGTACGCGAGTTCTGTGATAGTCATACTGAAATATGATCTGTGGTACGAATGCCTTACATTAAAGCTAACTGGTACGGCCGAGAGTGGGGAAAGTTTGCTCTCCCTCTCAGAATGGTCTCACATGGCCAAGTGCATACAACCACTACCAGGGAACTCCTACTCACTGCCTTTTCGTGGCGGGGGTGTTGTTAACGAAACTAAGAGGAAGAAAAGCAAATGTCCGACGTTTTAACCGGATTGGTGGATATGGAGGATCCACCTAGGGAGAGTTGGAAAACCCTGATTCCGAACCAATGGTGCACATGGACTCCAGGATCCTGAGAGAACAAATTGCGTATGAACCAATTATTGCTCACTGGCTACCACGGAACTTTATCTCCTTACGTTGTTCCACTGCCTTGTAGATCAGACCTTTAAGTCGAAGGCTCCGGGTGTGGCCCTCTAAGAAACCCACCTGCTTCGGTCTGGGTACCCAAGTAGTATCACAGCCCACACAAAAATCAAGTGACTTGTGTAGCGCATGTGTATGTATACGTATGTGTTCAAATAAATAAATATGAACAACAAATGAAGGTTCATTATACATATTTAACCATAGTCAGCCACCACCCAAACAATCATAATCGGACGCGCTCAATTACGCGAACCTACGGTCTGACTAGAGATTGAACAGAATTGGCCGCAGGGCAAGATTTCTAGAGCATCCTAAACGTTTTCCTCAAAGTTTTGTCGTACGTTCTTCCTAGTAAGCTACTTTCCCATGCTCTTTAGTTTTCATTATTTTTTGAATTTTGTATTTCAATAATAAAAAACAAAATACACTAAATATCTGTCTTACTTCCCTCCTTCTTAAAAAACACCTTCATTAAGAGGGCTAGACTTTCCAGATGTTGATCTTGTTATTAATTACGATGTCCCACGTCGGCCATCGTGGTCTGATTCTGCAAAAGCATACATACATCGAGTAGGAAGAACTGCTCGTGCTGGACGACACGGACGTGCTATTACATTTGTTACTCCTTATTCAGTTACACGTTTGAAAGCTATAGAGTCAGCTTTAAACGAAAGAATTCCTCAGTTACCTTGGCCTGGAACAGATTGCTTGAATTCACAGTTAAGACAACAAGTAGTACAAGCTGACAAAGAAGCTCGTGCGGTAAGTTAATGGTTCTCAGTATATATATATATATATATATATATATATATATATATATATATATATATATATATATATATATATATATATATATATATATATATATATTGTGCATAGTTTTGGGTCGTTCATAATTTTTTTTAGTAATCATTAACAGGGCCTAAAACGAACATGTATTGGTTAGACTAATTCCTGGATATCTTATGAAGACTTCTGTCCTAAAATGAAAGATCGCAAGCAGTTTGATTGGATAACGTCTAAACTAGCTGCTAAACCACCTGCTTCAGTCTGGGCAGTATCACAGCCCACACACAAATCAAGCAACTTGTGTGGCGCATATGTATGCGGTGCCCCTTTGTACCAATATTTATGTGTTCAAATAAATAAAACTAAGCTGCTAAAGCGACCACTCCTCCAAACGACCTCGGAACATAACCCGGCAATATTAACAGATCTTTCTTGCCTTGATAATTTCGAATAAATTGAGCATTGGGTTGATTGTTATAAATAAAAATAATATATTTGTAATATCCCAATGAGTAGAAAATTGGATTTTCTGACGTTTCGTGACTTAGTGTAAGTCACTTCTTCAGAGAACAAATAACCAAATTAAAACGTCAGAAAATCCAATTTTCTACTCATTGGTATATTACAAATATATTATTTTTATTTCTTGCCTTGAGTTTAGTTGTGGCCTTGTCAGCTTTGATGAGTTCAAGACCCGATATTAACCACTCATTCAGATTGACCGTGATTAATGAACAAGTGAAATATAGGTAGTGGCCAGTTGAACTATTCTGTACGTCATGCCAGTTGCTTGGTTTGAGAGGACTCCATTTTTTCGGACAAATTTTCTCTAACACATACTTTCTATATGTAATGCTAGAAAACCAGTAATAAAATTACATTATTGAGATTAAAACAGTGGCTTTATGACCAAAGAGTTGAACTTTCGGCCACTAAGTCAAGAGTTTGTGAACCCCGTCCCACCTTACGTTTCACATTTTTCATGCTGTATACCATCAAAATTGGTTCCAATTTTTATTAAATTTGTTTTAGAACCTACGTATCAAGGAAAAGCAGAAACAAATAAAGAAAAAAAGGAAAGATTCAGCAAACAATAACAGATTGCCAAAAACCAAACGATCACGTCAAAGTAAAGAAGTGGATTCGGAAGAGACAAACAGTGAACCAGAGTAGTTTACCATTCTTTGTACAAATTTTGTAAATACTACTAGATCATCGCACTACTAGATTTTTCATATAATTCTTTTTTGGAATGTGTTTGTTTAATCTAAGCGATACAAGCTGTAAACCAGTTATACTTCTTTCAGTGGAACTGCCAGGGGATTGAAAGTTATCAATTGAAAATTTGGTCTAGAATCAACTACTTTAACCTTGAGATTTCCACCAGACCCCCAAAGTGCTTATAGAATTAACGGATGTGCAAACCAAATATTAAGGTGTCATAAAAATGACAAGTTTCTGGTATACAGGAATTATAACGATTCTGATACTACCGTGAGCAGTAGATAATCCTACAGAAGATCCCAACGGGTATTCAACACTAATATCATTACTTTTAACGAACATAGTAGACTATTGACATCACTTAAGGCACTTCCGATATCCTTTCATTCCAAGACCATCTATCCCCCTCCTGTTTAACTTCGTAAGCGATGGTCTATTATGTTGATGCACATGAACGCAGAAATCCAAGAGCTTGGTATCACTATTTCCATACGCCATAACATCAAGTATTCTCAGTGGTTAACAGAAAAACAATTTCTTCCAGAGTTGTATACCATACGTATTCATTTTCTTGGACATTATCTTTTATAGACTCTTCGCCAATTTTTTCGAGTCCAACCTTAATAAGCTTGTGATAAGACAATGCTCAAGTGTTAACAGCTGTATGATAACCGCGAAATTCGACAGCGGCTTAGCAACACATTTTGAAGAATAAGGAGCATTAGACTACAAAACGTTTGCGGAAGCTATTCTTGAAACTTGCGGAAACCGCTAACAGTTCCAGTTTTCTCCCAAAACACTGCCACCGAGGAACCGGCTCTTGTCGCATGTCATAATCTAATGGTCACCATAGATTTTTCTGTCGCGCAAATTCTACCACGGCGCATCATATAGCTTTGCAACTACTGTGCCTGGAAGTATTACGTAACTTTTCCGACAATACGAGCAGATAAGAGACAGCACCTAAAGCAAAAGTCGCTTAACTTCAGTCCACCTGATACTGGAGTATCGAAATGTAATCTCCGGACGGTGGCGATGGTAGCTGCCTAGCTTACACCAATGATGTAATGATAAAGGTTTACTACTTCATCATTAATGAAATATGTTAGGATCGTTTTTGCAACACTGAATGAATGACAGCAATGGGTCGTGTTCAAATTAAAAGTAGTTAATCGGACGTACGGCGAAAGTATGTCTATCTGAATTTGCGTGTATACAAACTGACGCATTAACTTACTATTATAAACGGTGTTTCAGCATTGTTGTTTGGGGAAAATATAGCGATTTGTAGTTTGAAATACTCAGAATATTATATATTTAGTGTCACCAGTTAAGATGAAATAGCGAATTTGACAGTAGGTAGACAAGACCAAGACTGCTACTAATCTGAGCAACCATGAATGCTTGGCCATTTATAATCTTCACCTATATAATAATCACTGAAGAACATACCACTAAACTCGTCCGGGAATTACACTTTCTACTGCTTCGCCATAAAAAGACTTCAAATGTATTATGATCACCAGTCAACAGTGTTACACCTCACTGTTACTAGGTCTAGGGGAATTAGTGGAGTTACGGTCAATATTGATATTTTGGTTGATGCCGCCACAAGGACGTTTGTAAGTAATGTGTATCAGAATACGTCGTCAAAGCTGCAACAACCGTCGAACAGTAAGTTTCAGTCCTTCGAAGTCACGATGTTGGCAGAACATTGGAAGACGCAAACGGATGAATAAATGCAGTGAGTCAGTAGCAACAGAAAGATTAGGGTTTGGAGATGTTATTTAAAGATTATAATCCAGTGAAATAAATTTGGGAAGAGAAAGAGACAAGGAGGAATCAGAAGATTAGAATTTGGGAGAACACAGAGTGTATGCACCTGCACCATTGCAAACGATTCTCAGCCATGTCATTCAAGGTCTCTAACCATCGGTTGCTATCAGTTCGCGGTCTCCAACTAGGTAGTCTACACCTACTAACATGGCTCATCAATTGATTTGTCATCCTTATCTAGTACTTGTTTCCTAACAACTGCATTACCTACTCGGTGGTCCCAGAATATACGAGCAATACTTCGAAGACATTTATGATTAAGGGCTATGTATATGCATATGTAACCTTTCGAAATAAGTATCCACACCCATCTATTGCCTTGTTTTAACGTATTATCAGTTTGCAACAGACCGATTAAATTTCTAATTGTACCCATAAAATTTTGTGTTGAGTTTTGTCGAAGACAATAGATAGAAAATTTTCATACTCCTCTTAAAACAAAACACCAGAATAATTAACCACCATAATGGTAGATAATGCAAGAATCTGGCTGAAATTTGATGCTTTCAAAAATACACATCAGAAGTCTTTGTGTACTAAAGGCAATGACATTAATCGAATAGTCAATCTGTACAAGTAAGATAAACTTTTTTTATCGTTAACTTAACAAAAGACATAACCAATCAAACACTATCAAAACTGTACACAATATAATAAACTAAACTTAAACGTACACAAACTGTCGAAACCAAAGGCAATGAGTAATAAGCTTTGTTCTTATATATTGAAGTTATTAAGCTTTTCACTACTTATTTTCCAAAAGTAAGAGAATAATTACCATTGTTGTTATGCCCATATGGGATAGTAATGAAAATGACTGTAATAAAGAAAATGTGTAAACGGTAACCAAAACGAGTTGAATAAAAACATGCCAGTGAATAAGTATACACATATAATAATAATAAGTACAAAGAAATTATAAGAGGAAATAATAATAAACAATTGTACAAAATGTCAAGAAGAAAACAAAAAAAACATGAATCCACAAAAATAAGCAAATCAGTGTTTCAAGTAAATTAAATAGGACAACATATGAATTTGTATATATATGTACATATTTCAGCAGATTTTATGCTTAAACAAATGATGAAAAAATAATAATTTATCATTAACAGTTGAAAAACAATATTCCAGAAACACTAAAATATTTCATATATACTGTGGAATTTTTAGTGCTTCAGAATAATAACAACAAATACGAAACGATAGAAAGTAGACAATCTTAGAAATGCAAATAGGGGGGGGGGGCAATGGGATGGATTTTGTATAAAGTTCCCAAATAATGATAATAGTAATTAAAAACCATACTTGCACACTAGTTCCAAGGGATATGAAGAAAGGAATGTGCAGTTGATTTTGAAGGAGATAAACATGTATATGAGCAACAAACACGTCTATAATTGATCATCTGACTTTAATCGCTTGACTGGTGTAGTAAAAGCTCTGAAAATAATTATATATAGAAAAAACAGATTGTACAAAACTATTCATGAACAAGACTCTATGATTCAAATGATGAATACAACCATATGTAAAACAATACCTAATTTTAGAATAGGAGTTCATTGTTAAGCCAAGATCAGTTGATAGTCATTATCGGATAGCCTCGCAGTGGGAGTGAACTAAGTTCATGTATATCTCATTACCATGATGTAATGAGCGGCAAAGAAACCGAAATAATATGGTAGCGATGCTGAAGGCTCAACGTTAAGAATATAGTTCGAAAAGACGGAAGAGCATGAAAAAATACTAGGACGCAATATCTAAGAGTAATAGGAAGTGTGAATGCATCTGCGCCATTGAGTCATATTGACGAATGTCACCTGACGTGTCTAACTATTGGTTATGATGATCACGCTGACCCCAAGTCAGCAACTACCGACATGATTCAGATCAACAGTCAATGACTACGCTAGTCCTACGTTTTGTTTTGGACACCCCTAGCGTTCAGTCAGACAACATTAAGCTTCAAAGTAAACACTGGTTAGACATCTGTAGTACACGTACCAACCAGCTCAGTTGATGAAGATTCTCGACCTCATCGACTGATTTATGATCTTTTATAGATAACTAGTTACAAACATTGTATCTAGCTTGTTAGTAACTAAATTTCAGCCGAATAAAATGCAGATATCAATGCCCTTACACATACCACTCCAAATCCTGAAAGGCTAACTGCAGATTATTTAAAAGTAATTCAAACTGTCGCTAATTTATAATGTTTTTCATGACTGTTAAAGCTTAGCTATATGTTTCACCGATAATATGAACCTGTTGGACGCTCTTCCTATTTACTTAGCGTATCAAGAGCCTTGCTGATTGCGTCAAATGTCTCCTTCCATTCGACAAATATATTTGCAATGATATTTGGTAAGTAAACTCGTAATACAAAATCTATCCGAAGTGATCTCACTACCAGTGGATCATATACGTATTACCACGCGAGTTCAATTAGCAACTAACCAATAGTTATAAGCTGTTATGTTCAACCTCAATAGGCTTACCCTTCTTGTGATGTTCCTAAACTCAGAGTACGCTTGGCAACCGGCTGTGAGGCATTTGTTGCTTGGAAATTGATGGATTGAGGACTTATCCCAGCAACAGAGGAAGGTGTATTAGATACATCTTGAAGCCAACGAACTTGTGTCGCCGGTCCATATCCTTTTTCATTGCGAGCAGCAATCCGAAAGATCACAGCAGGTTTTGAACTAAGATCTAAATGAGCAGTAGCCAATGTTGCAGAAGTAACAGTTGCTGAGGGTGATTGACCACAATATACACGAACAAATGCCATACCAGATGGTGTAGACCCGACCTATAGATAAACAGTGAAAGAATTAATAGAGAGGTAAGGGAAGCACAGTCAATCACACTGTGAATACCATAGGGAAACTAAGCTTATACTACAGATCATGCTAGAGAACTAATACTCCTACACATGTTATACAAATAGTTACAGCTGTAAAACGTTTTATGTATCTACACAAGTCAGTACATATTTCGAAGATTTAAAGCATATGAAATGGAATCAATTCACTTCATTACAATAAGTATGTTGGTATGACATTTCTTAAGCATTCAACTACGAATACAACTCGAGTCAATTTCCATAA